GTTGCGGGCGGCGGCAGCAACGACTTCCAGTGGTGCTTCTCGCAGGTGAAAGGGGCTATCGACGAGGACGTGGCGGAAGGTAAGGGGAGGGCCGGGCTCAGCCACGAGCTCCCGAGGGGCCCCGTCCCAGGCTCCGGCTCCGCCGAGGCCACAGGCACCAACACCCTTTTTTTTTTTTCCCTCTCTCGACGTCTGTGTCACGCCCGAGCCGAAGGAGCCCCGGCTGGGAACGGTGGAGCTGCAGCATCTCCCCAGCCCGTGCCCGGGGCTCGCAGGACGGGGTGTGTGTGGCAATGACTGAGGCAGCGCCCAGGCTGCCGGGCGGGGTGCTTTTTGGGGGAGGGCATCACACAGCAGGCACGGTGGCTTCCTCCTCTCCTTTAATTCTAATCGCTAGGGAGAAGAGGTAATGACAGTGATAAAACGGGGAAAAAAACACCAGTGGAGTCGGTCAGGCTTGTCAAGTTTCACCCTGATGCAAAGAGATCAACAGAGAGAGTGGGCAGGTCTGTCATTTGTGCTTAATTTAAAAAGTAGGGTTTAAAGGCTACCTGCAGCTGTGAGCAGATTCTATTCCTACTTGTTAACCTTTGGAAGCTATAAATAGGGATAATTAAGTAGGGAAAATGGGCACACCTTCACATTCCTCTGAAGCTTTTTAAGCACAGCATGTTTCGGAATGAGGAGAAAATAAACGTTTTAATTGGGAAAAGCATTTCTCTGTAGTGTGTAGAAACAATGAAGTTTTGCTCAGCTGTGATAAGAAGGTTCTCCTTTTTCTTAAATTTTCTGGACTGTTCAGGCTGGCAGTACTGCTTAGAAAAGAAGGTGTGAGGTATGTGTGTGAAGCAATTTATTAACTGAAATAACTTGCAATGCCAGTGTGGGGTTGTCTTGGCTTTTGGATATTTTTTTTTATGATTTTTTTTTTACTGGGTGCAGTAAATATTTTTTTCTCACTGTCTGCTGCTAGGAAATTCTGCTAACAGTGTTTTCATTTTCATGCCACTTACTTGGCATTCCATAAAAATAATGGCTATGGGAGAAATAGACTTGCAAACTGCTCAAGAAGAAACTAGTACTCAGGCTCAGTTTTCTTCCTTTCTCCCCCAGTATATTTTTGTAACTTCTACTACTGTTCTGGAGTTCCCAGAATTCCTATGAAATAGTATTTTAAGTTGCTTTTACGAGTTTCCCAAATGGTCCTTTTTAATTAGGTTCTGTCAGCTACATGGAATTGTCAGTTCTCAGTGTTGCAAAAAAATAGACTTCTATGAGCACCTTATTTGTCAGTCAATTGCTGAGCAACATGGATTTTTGTGAAGCTGGAGAGCTTCTCGTTTTTGAAACACCAGTGTGTCCTAAACCCAGTTGATTATTTAAGTGTGTAAGTGGGTGGTCAAAGAGGAACTTAAGTTACTGCTGAGACACATGGAGGCAGAGTTCTTAGAGAGGGGAAAGCTCTCTTGTTTGAGTAACTACAAGTAGCAAGGGGAAATAGTGAGGATGATGCTCAATGCTTTAACCCTGGGTTTTCCCAGATGTACCTTATTACTGGGACTTCCCCTGGAGGGAGGACTGCAGGTTGTGTGAGATGCTGCTACACAGGAGGAACAGTTTTCTTCACAGGGAAATTAATAGCAGTAATCATTCAGCACCTGCTTTTGCAGAATTGGTACTTCAGTTTTGGTTTCCTACTGGACTACAAAAACTGCTTACATTATCTTTATTTTGGGATATGGCCTTTCCCCCCTCTGCTTGTTTTTGCCTTGAAATTGGAATTAAATAAAGGAAATAGACAGTTTGCTTATAATTGCCTGAGTTTGACCCAGTAGTATGCAGTGAGAGTGCAGTTACTATGCTAGATTTTTGCCCCCAGTTACGGAAATATTGGCTCATTACCATTTTTTAAAACATCTTTTACCAAACTGCACATCTAAACCTGTGAGCTGGGTGACTCTTGCCTTCCAGCAGCCTCGCTGCAAATAGTGCAGAGACCCGCTCTGAATTTCATGGCAGTTCTTGTGGTAGTGAAAACTTGCTGCTGTGTAAATTTTTTTTTCCCTCTTTCCTGTTTCATGAAAAATTAACTCCATAGAGGAAACCTGAAGATGACAACCAAAAGTAGCTGCCAAATGTATTAAATACAGACTTTTCTGCTAAATGTACTTTATGAAGCCTGCAAGGCAAAAAGTCACTCCTGTTTGAAGGGCAGTCCTAGCATACTTTTTCTGTTAAACAGTTGTTTCTCATGTCTGTTGCTTTAGTGAAAATACTAACATGGCTTTGCCAAGTGGCTGCACTTAGATGTGCCACTGCCATCCCCATTCCTGGGGTTTTCCTAACTAGGTCATTAATACAGAAAATCACTTTGTCTCCTCTTTGTCTGTTTTGTGTATTTGCCGCCTTCAGTAAGCGATGTTTGAGATCTGTGCAGTGCCCTGTTGGAACAAAGAGAAGAGCCATGTTTGTATGACCAATCTGGACATTAAAAAAAAATAAATCAGGAAAACACAGCAGTTACTGAAGTACATCTTTTCCTAAAGCAGAACAGTTAATTGGATTCAAGGAGGAGAATTGGAGGATAAAACAGATATTGAATAAAGAATTGATACTGGGGATGGCAGAAAGGTTAATTTAAAAAAAAATCTAAATTGTGTTGTAATTTTGTTAGTATAAAACCGTGTGACTACATGTCTGTATGTGCTGCCTGTGAAACTTGTTATTCTTGGATTATGTTTTTCAGTAGAAAGTAGCTTTCTGAAGATAGACTTTTTTTTTTTTCTTTAATAGTCCTGCCTGAGACCTACTCGGTTTTATGATTTCAGTGTTCAATTTGTTTTTTGTGTTCAAAAACATTGTTTGGGTTTGGTTTTTGGGAAGCAAAATATACAGTAGTTAAGTAAATAATGTACAGATATGCCCAGATTGCCTTGGGCGGAGTGTTCCGCATATAACCCATGACTACTTCTGGATTAAATGAACAGAGTATGTGGAGAGAGAGGGAGTCTGAAATAGTGGGGAAAATGTCTGATCCTTGTCCACATGTGAACCTGTATGCTGTGGAGATCATGAGTTTTCAGTTATTGACTCTGGGATTCCCTTGGGTCTTTCAGAGCAGGGGTTTGGGTTGGGAGAGACTCTTTCCTCTGTAGATGCTGGTTTAGCTTGGCACTGGTTAGATTGAACTTCTCTTTCAGTATTAGCATCTTGAAGGGTGTGGTTACTCCCCCAAATGAAGCAGCTATTGATTTCCTCTTGGAGCTTAAGTCTTGAACTCTTTTTAAGTGTTACATTTGAAACCTTTCTTGAAGCAGCAGAGTGCCAAGCCTAGTCTTGTACATAGTGCTGGGCATGGGGTCATTCTGTAGTAGAAAAGAGCTCCTTGGAAGCTCTTGTCTACTGGAAGCTCCAGTTCATTGACTTGAGGATGAACTTGTAAAAGGTATTTCACTGAACAAAACTTTTTCTTAAAAAAAAAAAAAAGTTGCCATTGGCTTTCAGAATACTTGTCTTCTGGTATTGGTTTACTTACATGTTCAGAAATGTATCTCCATGTAAATTGAAAGAACACTGGGTCTTTAGAAAATTTCCAGCTAGTAGTTGGTGCTGGCAGCACTGATAAACTAAAAGATACCTTGTTATCATCAGTTCAAGACATTCTTTACTTCTCCTTTTAAAACTTGTTGCAGTGCTAAGTACGTCTTGCTCAGAACTTTGTGGGAATGTAGAACATAAGCAGGGAGGAAAACCATGATCTAATGCAAATCTCTTAGATGATAATCCTGTAATTGCTCTCAAGTCCAGATACAAGTGATTTAAAAACACACTTAGTGTTAAATTGTCTTTACAAATCAGTGGTTTAAAAATGTTCTCATCTGTTGTTCAGGAGCTTAACTGTCCTCACTGTTTTTAAAGCAAATTTTGGCATAATATCAGATTTTTAAAAAATATTCCAAAACAGGTACAGATATGTGATGTCTGGTTAAAATTGCATGGAAGAAATGGCAGAATTGGTTTCTATCTTTAAGACACTTTTTTTCCTCGTAAGAACTAGAAAATATGTTAATAATTACTCCATTATTAAGCCATATGTATTGTTTCCTTTCATTGTAAATGATTAATTATCCCTGAAAATGTTAGTATTGCTAGAATGGGGCAGAAGATGGCCTTTTAAGCCTCAGTCTCCTGTTTTTGTACAACCTATGAAGCAAGAATTTGTCTTCACCCTTTACTTCACAACACACTATTACCTACAAGTAAGCCAACAGTATTTAATAAGTGGGGTTTTTTTAATTCCAGGTCTGTCAGACAACAAAAAAAAAAACCCAGTGTGTTATGTCACTGGAAAGTAAATGGCACTATTTCACTGTATATTAATGTATATGTAACTCTGGAGACTATTAAAAACAAGTGGTGTGTGTGAGAAATACTTATGTCAGGGATCTTGTTTAAGTTTCTCTCCAATCTGATAATTCTTAGAGCTTCACTCCTCATAACAGGGGAGCCCAGATTTACAAGTGAATAGCTGTGCTTGTAAAAAACATAACTGCAGGTGATCTTCAGGCTTCATAAAAGTGATGCTGTGAAGTGATGATGTCTTGGTTTTCTGTGGAAAAGAGACTCTGTCCTGCCATCTGACATACTTGCACTGAACTTAAACCTGCAATCTTTACCATGGTATCACAGTTTGGTTCTTTTTTCTTTGGCACAGGCACATGATGGGTGAATGGTACTGCAGGGGCAGGAGGGGTATGAATAGAAGTACAAATTCTGAGAACTGTGGGAACTCCCTTTTTTTTGTAAAGGTAACTAGGAGTTTTATGGCCTAGGTGGAGACTTGCAGGCAGTCAGAAGTTGTTCATAAATGCTCTTATTTCACTGTTGAAATTCACCCATAGCTTTGTATCTAGCATCTTTCTCCTGATTCTTGTATGTACCAGAAAATTAGGACAATCTTGTCAGAAAACTAGAGAGGTGCAGGTTTATGGGCGTTAAAGGGGGGGAAAAATATAGCAGTGGAAGATGGCAAGTGGAGTATTAAAGAACAGGTAAGAAAATCCTTTAAAAGACTAGGAA